ATATATATATATATATATATTTATACATCTAGACCTCTCTCCCTCTCTCTCTCGCTCTCTCTCTCTCTCTACATATATATATATATATATATATATATGTACATATATACATATATGCATACACCGTAAAGACAGAAAAAGAAGTCCAAAAGGACGAAGACAAGAATAGGAATATGAATATATATGTAGAAGTTGTATTTGTAGCTGTTCATAATATAAACAAATAGATCAGCAAAGGGGCTTAAAGATGCATCTCAACGGGGAGAAAGGCAAACAAAGCACAAAAAGACAGACAAACAAAAAAAGAATAAACAAAACAAATAAACAACAACTGAGTTGGCAAAGAAAACAAAGCGAGTCCACAAGACGGAAGCAGCAGAAACAAACACACAAACAAACGCAACAAACAAGAAAAAATAGAAACACTGAGAGCAATAAACCCTAAACCCTAAACCTTAAACCCTTCACTTCGTCTGTGCACACATACACCTCATGAACATAAAGACGGGACACACTAACTGCAACGAGTTTATTTGCTGCTGGTGCTGCTGCTCATGCTGTTGCTGCTGCTGAGGCAGTTGCTGCTGCTGAGGCAGTTGCTGCTGCTGTTGCTGCTGTTGCTGCTGATGCTGTTGCTATTGCTGTTGCTGATGCTGCTGCTTACGTTCTCAGAAAGCATCTGGGCATCCTGGATTGCTTTCCACCGCCCCTGCTGCTGCAGCTGCTGCAGGTCGTCGTGCTGCTGCTGATGATGCTGCTGCTGCTGCAGCTGCTGCGAGGGATCGCTGTTCATTCGCTGCAGCAAATGCTTCGCGTGCTGCTGCTGACAGAGTTTGGCTACCAAGACGTACACCAGCCTGAGCAGCAGCAGCAGCAACAGCAGCACCAACAGCAACGAGCGCACTATTGCCTCTTGTATGACACCTGCTCCTCTGTTGGCTGCGAGTTAATCCTAAACGTAGCTAAATGGGTGCTGCAGGCCAGCTAGCCAGTTGCTTAGCTAGCTAGCTAGCTAGTTAGCTACTAGCTAGCTAGCTAGCTAACTTGTAGCTAGCTTGGCTGATAGCTATCTAGCTGGAGTGATAGCTAGCATGAAGTAAAAGGATTACCTATGCACATTTGATCTCAGGGCAGCAGTGGTTGCTGCTACGTCTGCTGCTGCTCTTGTTGCTGCAGCTGCTGCTGGCTGGGGTGCTGCAGCAGGTATTGGTGCTTGCAAGGCTGCAGCACCTGAAGTATCTCTTGTGCTGCCGTTGCCCTGGGCCTGTCTGTTTAGCGTTAATAGCAGGCGCTGCAGCAGCTGCAGCAACTGCTGCCCCTGGGCTTGCTGCTGCTGCTGTTGTTGCTGCTGCTGCTGTTGCTGCGGCTGCTGCTGGTGCTGCTGGTGCGGCACCTCTAGCGGTTGCGTAGGGTTCCGCGGGGCGCTAATTTGCTGCTGTTGCTGCCGTTGCTGCTGCCGCTGCTGCATTTGCTGCAACTGCTGCAGCAGCAGCAGCAGCAAATGCCTCTGGCTCTGCTGATCAGCGGGCATTTGGCGTTCGCTTCCACTTAGGCTTGTAAGGACAGAAGAAACCTGCAAAAGCACAACAACAACTTCTGCTGCTGTTGCTGCTGCTGTTGCTATTGGCTGTGATGCTGCACTTGTGCTGCTGCTGCTGCTGTGGCACAGGGCGAACAGCAAAAGGTGCAGCAGAACGAGCAGCAGAAGAAGCAGCAGGGCAGCAGCAGCTGCTGCTGCCGTTCTTTTCTCCTGCCAGTGGCGGCTGACCGTTTCGTTTGCAGCCGCAGCCGCAGCAGCAGCAGCAGCAGCAGCAGCGGGCGCCACCACTGCAGCAGCAGGGCCAGGCCCAGCAGCAGCAGCAGCAGGCAGCAGGTTGAAGCTCTCTAAATGCTGCTTCGTTACAATTCGCATCTCCCTGCCGCTATTATAGAGCATAAGCTGCTGCTCTGTCTTCACCAATTCTTCTATAGACAGACAAACCTCCTCTAGGCGCTGCGAGAGAGAGTCACCTGAAGCAGCAGCAGCAGCAGCAGCAGCAACAGCAACAGCAGCAGCATGAACAGCAGCAGCATCAGAAGCAACACTATCGTCAGCAGCAGCAACAGCAACAGCATCAGCAGCAGCATCCGCAGCTCCACTATCAGCATCACCAGCAGCAGCATCAGCAGCAGCACTATCAGCATCAGCAGCAGCAGCAGCAGCAGCAGCATCAGCACCCGCAGCAGCAAGAGCATCTCACCATACTGCTGTCTCCATTCTCTCTTCATTCCAGAGATAGAAATTCCTGCTGTTAGAAGGCGGTGGCGCTTTCGTGCTGCAGCAACAGCAGGGGACCGCAGCAGCTGCTGCAGGTACCGCCGCACTGCAGCAGCAGCAGCAGCAGCAGCAGCAGCAGGAACAGGAGCAGCAGAATTCAGGCCAGGAGAACAACTCGAGTTGGGCATAGTGTGGCTTCCGCTGCTCATCTCAGGATGCTGACTCTGCTGCTGTCGCTGCTGCTGCTGTTGCTGCAGCTGTTGCTGCTGTAGTAGTAGCTGCAGCTGGCTATCGAGCTGAAGCAAAAGGAGCAGCTGCTGCCTCAACTGAGAGGCGTCCCCCTCTAGGGCATCCCCTTGCTGCTGCTGCTGCTGCTGTTGCTGCTGCTGCTGCCTATTGCAGAGCATCTCGCTAAGGTCTTCATTCCTCATCCACTGAAGCCGCTGCTGTTTGCATGCACTCCTAACAATATTCAAGAGCCGCTTCCCCAGCTGCAGCACAACCGCCTCCTGCTGCTGCTGCTGCTGCTGCTGGGAAGCCATCATTCGCTGCTGCTGCTGCTGCATATCAACTCCAGCGCTGTGGTATGAAGACCTCTGACTTGCTAGCAGCTCGGCCAGCAATCCAGCAGCAATCGTTCGCTGCTGCTGCTGCTGCTGCTGCTGCTGCTGCACCGCCGCCAATTCTCCTCTTCCGGTGCTGATGCGTGCGTTGTCTGTTGAGACTGGGCAGCAGAACACAAATAGCAGCAACAACAGCAGCAGCAACAGCAGCACCAGCAGCAGCAGCAACACAGTTTTCGCATTAGCTGAGACAACGATCGGCAGCAGCATCTGCTGCTTGTTGCGGTCATCCGCTGTATCTTTTTATGTTTTTATTTGCTTCTTTGCTTTTGCTGCTGCTTTTATTTCTTCTTTATGCTAATTCTCATGTGTGTTGTGTTGTTGTCGCTGTAGCCTGTTTGCTGCTGCTACTGGTGCTGTTGCTGCTGCTGCTGCCTTTGCTGTTGATGCTGCTGCTGCTGCTGTTGCTGTTGCTGTTGCTGCGCTCTCTGTTACTCTCCCTCTAGTGCTGCAGCTCACCTTCCGCCCCCAGAGCTTCAATCGTTTGGTGCCGCTGGCGCTGCTGCTGTTGCTGTTGCTGCTGCTGCTGCTGCTGCTGCTGCCTGTCGCCGGAGCTTAGGAGCTGCAGCAGCTGCTGCAGCCGTTGACCACCCGCCATATTATTTGCTGCATCCCGCAGCAGCCGCTGCAGAACCTGCGGAGGCAGCCGCTGCAGCAGTTGCAGCACAGCCTGTTGCTGCTGTTGCTGCTGCTGCTGTGAGTTAAGCTGAGAGGGTTGTCTGCTGCTGAGGGTGTTGGAGATCTTCTGTGGCGCTGCAGCGCAGGGCACCTCCTGCCGCTCTGCTGCTGCCGCTGCTGCTGCTGCTGCTGCTGCTGCCTGCTGCTGCTGCTGCTGCTCTAGGAGGCGCAGCAGCGCCTCAGCTGAGGCTGTAGGGAGTTGAGTGCTGCTGGTAGCAAACGCATCTCCAGCAGACCTGCGGGTGCAGGTCCATACACCGCCCGGCCACGGCCCTTGCTGCTGCTGCTGCTGCTGCAGCTGCTGCTGCTGCTGCTGCGTACCGACGGCAGCTTCAATCAGAGAAGCAGAAACAGCAGCAGGAGGGCCGACGAGGGGATGCATTTCGAGGGCATTCGGGCCGGGCAACAGCGGGGTAGTTGCTGCTGCTGCTGCTGCTGGTGCTGCTGCTGCTGGTGCTGCTGCTGCATAGAGCGGCGCAGTAATCAAAGCTGTGCTGCTACTTGCATGCGCAGCAGCTGCTGCTGGTGCTGCTTGGCGTCTGAGGGAGTTGGGGATATACTGCGGTCCCTCTGGCACTGATACGCCCTCAGCAAGGTTCAGCTGCAGCACAGCAGCAGCAGCAGCACAGCAGCAGCAGCAGCAGCAGCAGCAGCAGCAACAGCATGATGGATGGGTTAATTGCTTGCTTGCCTCTGCCTATCTTCCTGCGTCTACTGAATTCACACTAAGACTACACCTGCCTCTACCCCTGATCCTACTACTATGACTACAACTATTGCTGCTGCTGCTGCTCAGCTGCTGCTGCTGCTGCTGCTGTGTACTAACTAGAAGGGCGCCGTTCTTTCGCTGCAGCACAACTTGGGGCAGGGCGTCTAAAAAGCCGAACAGGTCGCAGACACCCGCAGCATTTTGAAATCGTCGAAGATCTGCGAGAGCTCCGTACTTCTCCTAAATACACACAACATTCACAGCCCAATGCTGCTGCTGCTGCTGCTGTGACTGCTGCTGCTCATTGTGCTGCTGCTGCTGTGACTGCTGCTGCTCATTGTGCTGCTGCTGCTTCTGTGCCTGCTGATGCTGCTGCGGCTGCTCATTGTGCGGCTGTTGCTGCTGTTGCTGCTGCTGCAGTTGCTGCTGTTCCTGTTGCTGCTGTTCCTGTTGCTGCTGCTGTTGCTGCTGTTGCTGCTGCTTATTGTGCTGCTGCTGCTGCTGTTGCACAGTGTGCTGCTGTTGCTGGTGCTGTTGCGTATGCTACTGGTGCTGCTGATTATCGTGCTGCTGTCGATGCTCCTGCTGCTGCTTCTGCTGCCCCTCCTGCTGGTGCTGGTGCTGCTGCTGCGGCAGCCACGGGTGCTGCAGCTGCTGTTTATCCTCCGTCAGTCGCTGAAGCCGCGTGGCTGCTGATTACCATACCTTGCTGCTGTCGCTGCTGCTGTTGCTGTTCCTGTAGCAGCAGCAGCAGCTGCTGCAGCAACAGCTATAGCAGCAGCAGCGAGTGCTGCTGCTTCAGGGAGAGCTGACCTGCCATAGTTTGGGCAAAGCAGCAAAGGGAACGCCTTCAAATGCGCCTGGCTTTGAGGCGTCTGCTGCACCGTCTTGCTGCTGCTCATTGTGCTGCTGCTGCTGCTGCTGCTGCTGCTGCTGCGCTGCTGCGTCGGCAATGAGAGCGAAGAGAAGATTGCTAAAAAGATGCGCTTCAAGAGAAAGCAAAGGACGCATATAATATATGACAGGTCCAGAGGCCTGCTGCTGCTTCTGCTGCTGCTGCTGCTCCTCCTGCTGCTCCTCCTGCTGCTCCTCCTGCTGCTCCTGCTGCTCTTGCGCCTGCTGCTCCTCCTGCTGCTTTGTAGCGGAGGCTGTGCTGCTGCTGCTGCTGTCGCCGCTGGTCTGCTGTTCTTCTGGTGTTTGCTGTTGTTGCTGTTGCTGCTGCTCCTGTGGGAAGTGGTTCGCCTCTTGCTGCTGTTCTTGCTGCTGTTTCTGCTGTTCTTGCAACTGCTCTTGATCTCCTTGCTGTTGCTGCTGCTGCTCTTCTTGCTGCTCCTGCTTGCTATTGTTCATATCTTCTCTCTTCGCACCCTCTTCCTGCTGCTGCTGCTGCTGCTGCTGCTCTTCCTTTTCATCCCCCTGCACCTCTCCCTGCTGCTGAGTGCTGCTGTCGCTCCTGCTGCTGCTGCCACTGCTGCTGCTGCTGATGCTGCTGCTGCTGCTGCTGTTGCGCAGCTCTACTGCAGGCCAGCTGCTGCGGACGAGAGCAGCAAGATCATCAAAGCCAAGGGCGTTTGGGTGCAGCAGCGAGTTGAAGCAGCACAGGTGGCGCTGCAGCAGCAAAGACAAAGGCAAACCCTCCGGCCCAGCAGCAGCAGCAAGAGACACAATTCGCTGCCGAGCCCCGCTGCAACACACCAGCAGCAGCAGCAGCAACAGCACCAGCAAAAGCATCCGCAACACCGCCAGCAGTAGCAGCAGCAAACGTAGCAGCAGCCGCAAAAGCATCAGTAGCAGCAGCAAAATCAGCAGCAGCAGCAAAAGCAGCAACAGCAGCAACTGCAACAGCAATTATCAAACCATCTTCTCTACAGAGGACTAGGCGGGAAAGAGCAGCATTGAATGCAGCAGCAACAGCAGCAGCAGCACCGGCAACAGCAGCAGCAACAGCAACAGCAGCAGCAGCAACAGCAGCAGCAGATTGTGTCTGACTGAAGGGCTTGCAAATCAGGGCACGGATTAACGCGAGGACGATGAAAGGGAGTTGAGCTCGGCTGTGTAGCAGCAGCAGAAGAGCTGCGTGTACACCGCAAACCCTAAACCCTAAACCCTAAACCCTATACCCTAAAACGTAAGTTGTTGATGCCGAGTTGAGAAGCACTCGAGTGTATTAAGTGTTTATTGCTGCAGCAACAGAAGGAGCAGCAACAGCAACAGCAGCAGCAGAAACAGCAGCAGCGGTATACCTCTCGCTTCTTGCTGCTGAGGGGCTGCGAACTGCAGAGGGCTCCGCGCCGTCTTCTGCAGCAGCAGCAGCAGCAGCAGCAGCAGAAGCAGGTGAAGTGAGGGGAGGAGAGAGGGCCTTTGGCAGCAAAGGACGCGATGTAACTCTCAAACCTGACGCAGCAGCAGCAGCAGCAACAGAAGCAGCAGCAGCAGCAGCGACAACAGAAGCAGCAGCAGCGACAGCAACAGCAGCAGAACAAGCAGCCATATATATAGACAAGAGAAGCAGTGGAAGCAACAGCAGCAGCAGCAGCATAAAAAGTAGCAGCAGCAGCAACAGCAGCCAGCAACATACAAAGAGGATACCGGGTAAGCAAAAGCAGCAGCAGCAACAGCAGCAGCAGCAACACTAGCAGCAACAGCAGTAGCAACAGCAGCAGCAACAGCAGCAACAGCAGCAGCAGCAGCAACAGCAGCAGCAACCGCAGCAGCAGCAGCAGCAGCAAATCTCACTTGCAAGTCCTTTTGCAGATTTAATGAAGTCAGAGGAAGCAGCAGGGGCGGCAGCATTGAAGGTATCGTTCGCCAGGTGGTTTGCTGCTGCAGCTGTTGCTGCTGCTGCAGCTGTTGCTGCTGCTGCAGCTGTTGCTGCTGCTGCTGCTGCTGCTGCTGTTGCTGTTTCCGTTGTTGCTGGTGCTGCTGTGGCGCTGTTGTTGCTGCTGCTATATTCGCACGCAGGTGCAGCAACAGGTGCTGCAGCAGCAACAGCAGCGCGAACAGCTAATAGCTGCCTAATAGTGTAGCGACGATCCTGAAGGAAAAATTAAAAAGACAAAAAATGCACCTCTCAGCAGCAGCAGCAGCAGCACAAGCAGCAGCAGCAGCACCAGCACTAACTGCAGCACCAGCATTAACTGCAGCAGCAGCAGCAACTGCAGCAGCAGCAGCAGCAGCAGTCGTAACATCTGGAGAAAAGGACTATAAGGGATGAGTTAAAGAGAAGCAGAAAAATAAAAAATAAAGAAGGAAGACAATAAAACAAAAACAAATATATGCATATACATAAATTTATATATAAACATATAAATATATATAGGTATATAGATTTATATATATATATATATATTTATATTTAAGCGGTGTTGCTGCACTCACTCTTATCTCTTGATCTTCTTCCTCCTGCTGCTCCTGCTGTAGCTGCTGCTGCTGCTGCTGCTGCTGCTGTTGCTGCTGCTGCTGCTGCTGCAGCAGCAGCAGCATGCCGTCGCTGGTGGGGATACTCTGCTGAGATGTCATCATTAAGAGTGCATGGAGAAGAAGTTAAGAAAATAAATTTGTTTGTTTTATTTAAAAGTAAATAAATAAAAACAATTCGGTAAAAAATAAACAAAATACAGTAAAAAATAAATAGAGGGGCTTCCTTTCGCTTAACCATCACACACATAAATATATTTTCTTCGTCTTAAATAAATAAATAAATAAATAAATAAATAAATATAAATATATATATTATATATATATTATTGTCTATATAAATATATATAAATCTTTATTTATATATTCTTTACATATATATAAAACATATATTGTAATAATACTGTACAAGCGCTTCTCTCTGTTTAGGGCTGTATATGCATAACTGTACAAATAAATAAATAAATAAATATAAATATATATATATATATATTTATAT